TCAAGAGTAAACTTATTTTTTCTGTTCATTGGCTCTAGTTAAGTTAGAAGCGGTTGAAATTTGATGTAAAGTGGGAAAAAAGAACTGGGAAAGAAGATCAATGCAATTGGAATCGGACAACTATTTCGTTGGAATTCCAAACTTTTGGATTATGTAGCACTTCTTCTAATGAGGTTATTTGACATACAAAGAGGGGTCGTTTCGACCTTGCACAACTTACTGTTAATACGAAAATATGCTTGGAGGGTAAAAATCTCTAGAATAATAGTTTATCTCACATGTTAACCACGAAATCATATCCAAGGCAGGCCAGTTATTTCAATCCCTCTCTCATCTCTTACTTGATCCTATTCTGAAAGAAGAGCGAGGGATCTAAATAACACTAAGGTATAGCCATGGATATAATTTTTGTGATTAGGATGCCAACAAATCCCAAGGCCACATAACAAGATAATTTGACGTTGATCCCTTAATTGTACATCTGCCGCAACCTACACTATTCCTACAGTAGAACTTAGTAGAGGGAACTGAGATTTATCTCACAAAGAGCTTACAAATGAGCTCATTAGACAGGTTTAGCAATCTGAAAGATTTTGAGTTGCTAGAATTAGTAGAATTTATTTGGTATCACACATTTTATAGAACAAAATTCCTCTCAGCATGATAGCAGAAATATCGGATTTTCTGAAATGTTTTTGACTCCAAAACAAACCGCACAAACTCTGATGACTTAGTACTTCTAGTACTGTAAGCATAATGGTAAATCCTTAGAGAATAGTGAGCCATAATTCACAATACGGGTTAGTGCCATCTTTAATCCTTAGAGAATAGTGAGCCATAATCCACAGTACGGGTTAGTGCCATCTTTTATAGGCCATATGATGCTCAAGGGGTAATCACTTTATGAATAACCTATCAAGGGGTTTTAATTAGTACAGGGGATGATGGACAGCATAAGCTCCAAACTCCAAGAATCGCAAATATTTTTAAGATGAACAAAATCAATTTATCTTGCCATCTAATCCCAACATTTCTCTTTCTGATCTCCTCTTATCTATGATCAAAATGTCCTGCTGAATGCTAGTTCCAGAAAATTAAGATAGAGAATATTTGAAGTCAATGTTGGCCTAAAGATAGCAAAACTGCAGAAATACGTTTGAATGGCGAAAAGTGCAGTACGGAGCAAAGCACGGTTCATTGGCTGTTTGATTAAACAAAATTTTGTGCAAAGCTTATCGGGAAAATGGGACGCAGTTAAACAGATCGGAGTAAAAAGATTGAGTTGGATTAAAGTTTTAGAAGTTTGGAAGTAGAGCATGAATTCTAAGAGACAAGAAAGACAATATCTCTCAGTAACCAAAGATCAACAAAAACGTCAGATTGAGAGCTATACTTAACTGTTAGTCTTCTCAAACAAGAATTAGTTCATAGCCTTTTTAAAATAAAGGTCGTTATTTACCTCGTAACTTCTCGGACCGATTTTCTTCACTGATCCAGTCCCAATAGGGACATCTTTTTCGTTGTAAACCACAGTGTTTCCATTCTTGTCGGCGACCACTTTACCAACAGAACGTCCTTGTGCATCATAACATTGTGAAACTCCAGGAGTTTCGGCTAGAATACTACCTTTCATATGGCAGACTCCATCAAATTTCTTTTTATGTTACCTGTGCAGTGATATTTTTCGCTTCTTCTCCCGAATAAACTCTCGGCAAAGCCTCCACCGCCAATATCATGGGCGGAAATAGTTGCGTCAGTTTTCTTGCCGTTTTGCGTAATAGTGTAAGCATAATTTCCGCTTTTGCCTTTTTCCTGAAACAGTCGTTGAGAAATTTCATATATCAGCAGGAACACAGATTAGGAAAAAACTAAGAGCTTATTATAATCTGAAACAATGAACTCTCCAAACAAATCAGGAGTGGATTCGACACTGTATTGGAACCTTTACCTTTTAAACTTACCTTGTCGTTAAAACCAAGTGTTCCTGTGCCAGTATGATTGTCATGAGTTTTCGGATTGAGATTGAAGTCAAAACGATCATTTGTAGCAGCAAATGATGTTTTCTGAAATTTCGTCTTTGATTTTAACGTTTCAAACTGTAGCAATGCTTTCATTTGACGTACAGCAGGATCTTTAAAATCTCCTCTAGCCACCGTGTCCAAATCGTATTTTCCATCAGCCTTAAGAAATGCGTGACGTCCTGATTCGTCCTCTTTCGTTCTCAGTTGGGCTCTATAAAGAAGGTTTCGAAACGGCCAGCCAGAGCATTGTGAAATGCTTACTTATGCCCATCAACAGTGGCAATGCCTCCTTTATCGCCAATTTTTTGAACTTGTGCCCTTTTTCCGTCGTATGTTTCTGCAGCGGCGACGTTGCCGGAAGCAGACGCAGAGAACTGCTGCTGTGTGTTCAAGAGGTCAAGAATTACTTTTTCCTTATTTGAAGCATCCAATGCTACCTGAAAACAGCTGTGTCTGGCTTTTCTTCAGAGACTTTAGAGTACGGAGAGCGTACCCTTTGGACTTCTTGCTGACGCTTGTCGAGCCAGCTGGAGTCAGCCTCGATATGTTTCCGCTTTTCATTGATGGAGACATGGTTGGGATTCACCTGCGCGAACGTAACGTCCATCAGAAAAACACCTAGCATTATCCATGTCGGCATCCGTGCCGAGGTCCGCATCTGCAAAAAAGTGCAGAGGTTGCAAACGTTAAGTGGGGAAAATGGAGAAAAACCATGCTAATTTTCGTTTATCATGAGAAAAAAAGTGAAGCTTGAAAGAAAGAAAGTCGAGGGTGAAATAGTGAAATTCTCCGATCCAGCAAAAATCGAAAGTAGCGTTCGAAGGTCTTCTTCCAAGAAAGAGGTCAAAGTGACCGCATCGACATACTATGTAAAAGTGCGTCAGATGTGAACACGAGATATGGCGGCGCAACGGGATATAGGGCGCTATCCCATTTAACCGGTCTTCGCTTGACTTCAAATGTGGACAGCTGCTGCGATGGTAAGGCAATCAAAGAAGCAAGAAAAGAGCTGATTAGCTGATGTCAGTTCCGATCCGCGTTCGCCCGCCTATCAGCAACGAGTTCTACGCCTAAGGCACACTTACCTCGCCGCCCTCGTTGCCCAACCCGTCTGGCAAAAGTGACTCACCCACATATGACGATGTTGATTTACCCAACGTTGATATATTGAACCAAAAAATTACACATAAAGGACACATTTGGCAGAACAGGTATGATAAGATTAGGAAGACCGCCGAAACTGGGCTTGTAAACAAAGTTGCCTTATTGCTTTACCTTTTTTTAAAGGTCAACAGACGACAATCGTAAGCAAAGATAGTATTACGGAGAAGTGGCTGTGCCAGCGTATTTAGCATACATTATTTGTGTGTTATTAGTTCAAACGGAGTTTTAACTGTAGTAGTAATTAGATTCTACAATATTCTGTCATACACTTCACTACTCATATTTCAATTATCAATCACCGGTTGCTTCATAGCTTTAGGAAAACATGGTCTTCCCCTTTGGGTACCTTGACCATCAGCGCCAATATGGAGATTTCCACAATCCACTTATCCGATACAAACATTATATATCCATCAAAATATGTACCACCTAAGGCGTTGACGAGATAATGTACTTATTCATGACTGTCATGGACTGTCAAGTTTAACAGTAGATCTTGGTAGAGGTGGATTCGACTGGACCAACTCCTTCCTTGACGTAGGATGATATGGAAGAACATCAAAAATCACTTTAAAATATGCTAAGAGATCCTTTCAATATTGCAATTTGACGATAATTCAACAACCCATTCATTAAAATCGTGTTGCTTATTGTCAATTAAACACACTAATTATATTTGCAGTTCCGAAGGTCGCTTTTTTTCTCTTTGAGCCTTATATAATCAAAAAATTGAAATATATGAATAGCAGTTTGAATATGAAGCATAAAAAATTCTGAGAAGCATATTGTAAGATATGAAGGATTTATCTGTTTATGAGAATGAAGCATTACAGAAATAGACAAGAAATGTGGTCTACTTGAAAGCATAAAGTTTGGAACAAGAACTTGTGCCTAGGTAGCCAATTTGGACTGTAACAATACATTTGAAAGATTCAGGGGAACTAATATGTGATAAGAAAGTAATGGCAGTTGGGTTGGAAAGCATTATGATGAGCACCACTTAACACGCGGACTCAAACCTGCTTGAAATGTATGCGATATAATTCTATAAAAGAAGTTACGGCAGTGATTTTTTCGCTGATGTAGCGGCCACGTTGCATATTTCTCGGGAACTGAAACATTGATTTAATAATTTTAAAAAAGTATAATGATAGTCTTTGGTAGCTTTTACCCGAACGTGGACAAGCTTCTATGATGGATTCGGTTTGTTCTTTAAACTAACTATCAAACTATTTTCAAAAAGACGCTCGCACACACAGGTATAGGAGATAGAAGATTTTTTGGTACACGTCCTATTTTGATCTATGCTTTGATTAAGATTTTGCATCCCTGTTGCAGCGAAAATTCTCAGTAGCAACTTTGAGTCGTTTTAGCGTGTATCTGTTCATATTGGCGTCAACGAGGTTAATTCGCATTACGAAACTACCGATAATATTGGTATGCATGCAAAGCCAACGCTCAATGATAATTTCAATAATTAATCAAGTGGAGAATATTAGAGTGATAGAGGAAAGTCATTATTGGAATAACATGGGATATGCGTTCGATAGTAACGAGTCCCACATTTTGATTATGACTAGTCTTTGCGTTAACAGATCTTTCATATCACGTAAATACGGATTTGCCACAGGAGTTCCCCTTCCAGAACTGCAGAATATTTGGCCTACTGACATTAGTTGCAAGAGAACAGGCGGGAAGATAAATCTGTCATAATTCGGTCCGTTGAAGATAATGGTTACTCATCTTCTCTATTCATACTTAACATTGGACTCTATTGTTTAAGTTAAAATTCTTTGTTAACATATTGTAAACAGTTTGTCAACTTTTGCCAGCTTCCTTGGGAACTACTGATGAAAGAGATTTCAAGCCCGGCGGCACCAAGGAAGTCGCACTACCAGTCTAGTTCTTAGCCTCGAAATCGGGAAGTGTGAAAATACTTCCGTATCTTCTATTATAGCATATTACTAAACAAATTGCATGAGTACTTCATAAATCCATTCTGATCTTTATCATTTACTAACGAATTCATAACATTCCATGAATTTGTCTTTATTAGTTGAAAGTAGACTTCAATGGACCTAGTTATAAAACCTATGCAATTTCCCAGAAGTCTCGGTGAGCCACTGTATTCATTCTGTTATCATTCCCTTGAAGACTATTTCAAATAATTCTGCATAATTTGATGCTTCTAGAACATATCTGCTAAAAAAACAATTTCTTCGACCAGTTCTAGACTTTTTTATTGAATTTAATAGCAACATCATGAGACTTTATGGCAGTATAAACTGCCGTAAGCTCATCCTTTTGGTTTTTTCATCCTACTTTCTAACATATTTATGAAACTAGTGTCCACTGACGAGATTAATAGCTGTCACTGGGGTTTACCGATATGTTCTTTTGACAGTATGGTTGTTCTCAATTTTCTCCAAATATCGTTGACCATAGCGCAGCTAGTTGTGTTTTACAATCCACATCTCAACCTTTGCCAACGTGGGTATGTCATTGAAGTTGACATATGGGCCAAATTTTGCATACACGCGCTTTTACAGTTAATCAGAACCGCGGTTGCTTTATCAATTTGTTCATTTTTTG